ACTAATCTCTGTGTAGTAGTGACGAGGCAAAAGTCAAGACACGTTCTAGTCATAATAACTTGTGCAGTATATAAGTACAAAGCTAATAATGAAAGCAAGAATCAATAAATGGAAACAAGGAATGAACATGTGATATAAACATTAAAGTGATCAAAACACCATTAAAGTACCAGTGAAACCAAAATAAGGAAAACAAATAACAACCAAATAATAAAATTGTTCTAATATAAGTCTCACAACTAAACATCTCCAAGATACCTCATCTCATACTCACAAGTCACGAGTCCCATATCACCAATCATAAGCTCATGGCACCTCGTACCAACATTTTAAATCACAACCGCATGGACGACTCACATGCCAATACCTCAATATGTCCGGCATGTTCACAGGCTCACAATCACAGTCCACCCTGCGTGGTCACAAGTTCAATACCACAATTTGCCCGGCATAGTCACTGGTTCACTATCTTAATGCAAGTAGATAATACAATAATACATGGGCATGATCAATGAATGTCAAGTTTCATACTCCTAAATCAGTGTAAAAAGCAGGCTATGGTGCATGCTTGTGCGAGTGTACTATTACAGTCCAAGTCAACAAGTAGTATCAAAGACATCGAGTAGCTTATTGGAAGCACCACAACAAATCACGAAAGGTGCATGACATACACAAGGAAAATCACACTATCACACGAATATCATCAACATTATGTCCCCAGGCCATCACATATCATCCCTGATATAGCCACCCTTATCTCTCCATATAGCTAACATCATTATAGCCATCCTTATCGCTCCGCTCAAACATTTAACACAATAGCCACCCGTATCACTACGCATAATAGCCACCTGTATCACTCCGTACAATCAGTCACGGTGAGATGCCACCCTTATGCTCCGCATAAAAATAAATAATCCACATAACAAATCCATATGTGTTAACATCGCAACAACATGATATAATAACTCGTACTACAAGTGCTCATAGGCCACAACCTTTCCAAAATAGCAATATCAATATCACCGTAACACATAGCCCACGGCTCAGCCACGATGTGTACAAAAATCTAGACTTTGTATTCCCGTCATATTTTGATTTACCGTTATCATTCATTTATCACATTTTACTCATAATGCTTTATTTACTCTCTTCTTCTTCTCCTGCTAATATTTATGTCTATCACTTTATTCTAAAACCCTCAACAAAACTTTCTTTTACTTTTAGCTCCCCTCGCTTTATCTCACTGGTTCTTCGGGTCGCCTGGCATTCTCTTTTTTCCTAGGGGCGGGAGTCATACTAAGGTAAATATTTATCCCTTCTAGGACTCCACTGCCTATCTTCTGAAATTTTTGAACATTCTAGTATTCGTATTTGACTGTTCTATTCTAGAGTGCACTATATGGGTGTCTCTCAAGGAGATCTGTTACCACGTTTGCACTATCCTTCGGAAAAATTAGCTAATGATAACAATCTATCCACAATTTTGGGTTACTCTAATCCCAGCTGGATCCTGATATCCCATCCTTCTCTTAAACTATACTTGTTAGCTCCCATAGGGCATAACTGAGATGGGTGTGGCCAATTGTGTATATCTATGTTACTATTGAAAGTAACTCAGAATGCTTATAATTCTATGTCTGAATTATAAATACTGGTAATCTTCACTAACTGGGTACCTCGTACCCTTCTTCACCTTGCTTCTTTTACTTATTGAAACTTGTATCTACCTTCTGATTTGCTTATTGCTTTTTACCATATGGATGGATAGATATTCATGCCTTAGGGCTCCTTATCAAGAAGCTTACACATCTTGTACACACATGATCTGCTGAAGATCTCACATTTACTCATCATAAGCATAATGCAAAATCAAGTTCCTCTTACTCAACTCTTCCACAGCCACATTCAATCTCTTACCAATTGTCTTTTTGTATGTAGGCATCGTTGTATTACGAATAAAATAGAATTTAGGAGTTTGAATTCTTACAACTGAGTTCTACCACGCGATCTAGAGTAACAACAAAGAGTAACAATCCTAAATATCCTGTAGCCTTATGCTTATATGTGTGGTGCACAACACACCCATAAACAAGACTCTACTAGACACGGCTTGTAGACTCCCTAGGACAGAACTGCTCTGATACCACTTTTGTCACGATCCAAACTGAATGGCCGCGAGGGGCACCCGGTGTCTAACTCAACCGAGTACCAACGTAACGTATCCGTCTTATCGTACTATCATGGGTAAATGAGCCGGAAAGGCCGTCATGAGATAACAAAAATTAAACATAAGAGAATACTCGACATAGGACAACCCAACATGATATACAAACTTACACATGTGACATACGGGCCTATAAGACTGAAATGATTATTTGTACACTCAAAACATAGGCCCACTAGGCTATACAATCATCCATATACATGACATCTATCTACAAGCCTCTAAGAGTACATAAACATCATAAAGGTCGGGACACGGCTTTGCCATACCAATCAATACATGTCCAAATCATACTGACCAAATAGGCAACTCCGGAGCAAGTAGAGTGCACCAACACCTTTCGCTGAGCTGATAGCCTACTAGGAGGACTGTCAAACCTGTCTATTCGGATCTGCGAGCATGAAACGCAGTGTCCCCAGGTAGAAGGGACGTCAGTACAAATAAAGTACCGAGTGTAAGGCATGAAAAGCAGTATATAAAAGACATGAAAGAAACATTGAGTAAATGACTTAACCTGTAAGTCTGAATAACTCTAAGAATCATGAAACATTTATAATGTCATGCATATGCGTATAAATGTAATATCATGTTAAATAACAACTTCAACTAAAACAGGTTAATGGCTTTCAATAACTTCAACTTCAATTAACTGTTTAAAAATAAACTCAATAACGAAGGTATTTCCATGAAATGGAAACTTCAAATCCTATTGAATGACATAAGCTAACAGTGAAAGAGATGGTCATGAAATGGCATCTACGTCTAAATGCATGAGAATAACCTGACAACGAAAGGATATTATGTAACAACAATTTCAATTAAGAATAACTCAACAATACATGAGGTCATATTACAATAAAAAAGGTAACAACTTCAAATAAAGAATATAAGAGTACACTTGACAAGTAAAGATATGACATGTGCTAGCAACTTCAAATAAATCACTTGAGAATAAACTTGACAAACAAAAGATATAACGTGTTAATAACTTCAAATAAATACATGAAAGAAGCCTAAAAGATTAAACCGGTCAATTTTTAAATATAAGCCTGAGTACGCACTCATCTCCGCGCGTACACGTCTTTCACATAATTCAAATAATACAATCAACCCAAATCCTAAGGGGTAGTTCCCCCACATAAAGGTAGGCAAGATACTTACCTCAAAGAAGCTAAATCAATACTCTAAATAGACCTTCCCATGTGAAAGAACCTCCGGACGGCTTGAATCTAGCCAAAATAACTTAATATCATAACTAAAAGCCATAGGAAATAATTCTGGATAATAAAACTTTGATCTTTAATGAAAACCAAAAAGTCAACCCCAGGCCTGCACCTCGAAACCCGACAAAACTCATAAAATCCGAATACCCTTTTCAATACGAGTCCAAACATAGAAATATCATCCAATTTCGACCTCAAATCGACCTACAAATAATCATTTTATGTTTTAGAAATGTTCTACAAAAATCCCCAATTTCTCCATTTCAAATCACTAATTTAATGAAAAAAAAAAGATGGAATCATGAAATATAACCAAATATGAGTGAAGAATACTTACCCAATCCAAAACGTGAAAATCCCTTCCAAAATCTCTCAAATCCGAGATGTCTAACTCAAAAAGTGATAAAATAACAAAAACCCTCGAAATAGAGTAAATATAAGTTTGCACAAGTGTTCCTCTTCGGGATCACAGAACAAGCTTCGCAATTGCGAAGCAAGAAAATACTGCCTAGAGAAATGAAGCTTCGCGTTCGCGGCACATACCTTGCGAACGCGATGAAAAATGAGGTAAAACTTCGCGAACGCATCCATCGCATTGCGAACGCGATGAGTAATATTCCACCTGCCACCAGCTTCCTTACGCGAAGGAGGAGTACAAATAGTTGAACCTTCGCGAACGAGTGTCCACAGTCGCGTACGCGATGAACAAAATCACTGAGCTCTAAGAATCACTTTGCGATCGCGAAGTACAATTGAAACACTTGAAAACCAGCAACTCCAAACATGGGCGAAATGGCCCGGAACTCATCTGAAACACACCCGAGGCCCCCAGGACCTCGTCCGAACATACCAACATGTTCCATAATATAACGCGGACCTGCTCGAGGCCTCAATTCACATCAAACAATATCAAAACTATAAATCACACCTCAATTCAAGTCTAATGAACTTCCAACTTCTAAAACTAATTCCGAAACATAACAAACCAACCCGGAATTACCTCAAATTTTTCATGCAAGTCCCAAATGACACAACAGAGCTATACAAACTCCCGGAATCACACTCCAAACCTTATAACAACAAAGTCAACTCCCGGTCAAATCTCTAAACCTTCAATTTTCCAACTTTCGCCAACATTCCTCAAATCAACCTACGGACCTTCGAATCCAAATTTTTACATGTGCCTATGTCAAAATTCACCATACGAAGCTATTGAAATCATCAAAATACCATTCTGAAGTAGTTTATACAAAAGTCAAACTCCGGTCAACTCTTACCACTTAAACTTCTAAAACAAGAATCATTCTTCCAAATCAATCCCAAATCGCTCAAAAATCGAAACCGGCAAAACACACAAGTCAAAATGCATAACACGAAGCTACTCAAGACATTAAACCACTGAATGTAATAATAAAGTTTAAAATGACCGATCGGGTCGTTACACATGAGTGGGCAAGAAACGTCCAAGATAGAAAGGCAGACATATTCAGAATCACTTAAGGAAAGTCTGAATTATTGTGAGTGATTTGATCAGGTTTTAGAAGAAGAGGATGTTTTCAAAAGTACCAGATGAGTGGGAAGTTGAAGCGTCCACCAAAGGTCTCAATTCATTGCACTCTGATGCCTCCAGGAAATTGAAGGAAAGCGTGTTGGAATTTCAGGCAACCACATGGGCAGATGTTTATTATCGTTATGAATCAAAAATTAGAATTGAAGATGATCAACTAAGTTCTACGGTGTCATCCAAGGGTGGGGTCGCAATCGCGATTGGAATCAGAAAAAAGTTCAAAACGAATTTCGACACAGCTGATGGTCATGGAAATAAAGGATTTTAGTCATCGAATAGATTTTATTTCTAATAGAAGGGAAGATCGTGGTCGGAGTAGCAATGCTTTACGGGAGAAGGAATCGTCGGGGTCCCGAGATCTAGTTTTAGCTATGAGAAACATTAAGGAGGCAAGATTTTCAAAACTAATTCGATTAAATCCTAGTCAAAGAGATCCTAATCTTTGCTATTAATTTCATTGGACGCATGGCCAGAGGACTGGGGACTGTCGGCACCTTCGTGAAGAGGTTGCAGCATTACTGAAGAATGGTCACCTTAGAGAATTTTTAAGTGATCAAGCCAAAGGTAATTATGGGAGGAATCAAGATGTTGTGGAACTAGCCAAACCGGTTGCAAGGTCAACTTGCCTAATGATAAACATGATCTTTGGTGGTGATGAAATAAATGGAGTGAAATTTTTATCAGCAAAGAAGACAAAGATATTTGTAAATCATGGCAAGAGGATGCGAGAAACATCAGAAGGTGATGAAATCACATTCACGGAAGAAGATGATGATGGCCTTATTTTACCACAAAACGATGCTCTAGTAATATCGCTTAATGTTTTAGATTTTAAAACAAAACGTGTATTGGTTGATCTAGGTAGTTCAACCAATATCATTAAATGGAGAGTTTTGGAACAAGCAAAGTTAACTTGAAACATAGTTATGATAACAAAGCTTCTGGCCAGGTTCAACTTAACAAGTGTAATGACCCGAGGAGAGATTTTACTACCCACGCATGCCGAAGTCGTAACAAAGACTTCTTTGTTTGAAGTGGTAGATAACGATATGGGATTCAATGTGATCCTTGGAAGTCCATGGATTCATGAAATGAATGATTTGCCATCGACTTACCATCAACTATTAAAGTTCCCCACACCGGAGGGGATCAAATAGATTAGAGGAGATCAACCGGTTGCAAGAGAAATTAATGCAGTTACGATGTCTAGTAGCGAGGTATAAGGAACAAGTAAATAACAACTACCGGGATTGGTGTACTCTTCCATCTCGATTGAAGGTAATAGGGAAGAGGAGTCATCGTATTTTTATCAGGTACCGAAGTCTTTCCATGTACCTGATCCACTCTGAATCCACACTCAATAATGAGTGGAAGAGGTCGTTGTAAGAATAGTACCCAACTTTGAGTCGGGGTCGATTTCCTTAGGGAGATAAATATGGGTGTTAGAGTATACACTTGATGAGTGTAGAAGAAATAGCTTAAATATGCTTCCAAACAAGATTGGTTTGCAAATTACTTCTACAAAATATACTAACAATGACTAACTGGAGAAATGAAACTAGATATTGATTAATTATTTTTGGTTGTTTTCAAATAGGTAAAAGGCCTAGGGATGTAAACTTCGCCTAGGTGTTAGCCTAATGGGTTAATTACGTTAATACTTGTTTTAGTAATTGGGGTGTATTATAGCTCTCAACTCTAGGTTACCCACTCAATACCTCTCTGTTATAGAGTAATTTTGCCCAATTTGACTTTCTCAATCCCAATTGGGTTTCAAGCCAAATAGTTGATATGATCTCAAGTCGGGTTTTCCCTATCTCTATTTCAAACCCTTTAATTAGACTAGTCAAAATCTTAACTTGCCCAATTTCTTCTTAGCCAAGTTTTCATAGACTAGATCCCTCTTTCTCAAGTAAAGACCAAGTAAAAAATGCATAAATCAATCTTTGCAACCATCAATTCCAAAATTAAAATATGAACAAGGCTAAATAACAAACACCTAATCATAAAATAAATATTAGATTAATTACCCATAAGATTTACACACTAGGGTTGGGTCAGAACCCTTGTAAATATCTAGTTACTCATAGTAGAAATGGAAGAAAATAAAGAAGAAATACTAATTAAAGCCATAATATAAAATTAAAATGATAAACTAATATGTTTTTAACCCAATTTGGTCACAAATTACCAAGAGTGGTAAACTACAACGACTACGGCTCAAAAAACTACCAAACTTGACCTAAAAAGTGATCCTCGTCTATTTATAGTGGCCTAAAATTTGCTGACAAAAATGCCCTTTGGGAGGTTTTGCGGCCGCACAATTCCATATGCGGTCTGCAATTTGCTCGAGTCTACAGGTTTAGGGATTCTATAGCCGCAAAATTTGATCTGCGGCTGCAATTCAGCTTATGCGTTCGCACAATTCCATGTGCGGTCCGCACTTCTGGAAAGGCTTCAATCTTGGATGTTTTGCACACTCTTTGAACTTTTTGAATTCATGTCAGTGCGACCATGTTTTGCGGCCGCACAAATTGTGTGCGGTCTGCAATTTTCTTCAATCAACTCTTGAGCTTAAACATTAGATCTATGGCTGTAGAGAGAATTTTGCAGTCCGCGCTTTCTTCTTCGGACGCAAAAATACTTCTGTGGGCCGCACGTTTGGTCAATTGCGCTCCTTCTTGCCTTATAAGCCGGAACACTCCTTTTTGAGTTAGATTTCTTCAGTAGAGTCCAATTCTCGAACATTTCTTCAATTTTCACACTTTCATTAGTTTTGGGAACATAAATCAACACTTTCGGACTAAAACTAAAGCAATAAAGTACTAATAAGTGGTTAAAATTCACACTTATCAACTCCCCCAAACTTAAGTCTTTGCTTATACTCAAGCAAATAGACCAGTTCCCACCTCCTCCGAGTGAAGGGTCATTTCAGAGAGTCAATGGTAAGCCATTAATACTCAGTTGGGACCTACAATTACCCACACTACTCATGCATTATCAACAAGGTGAAAAATCATATATTATGCATATATAGTTCTAATGTGACATTTGAGCTTCAAGAATTGACTTTACTCATCAAGGAATCTTGTTCTATCATATTGATCATGGTGGAATCCAAACTCTTCCTCCTCCACCTTCCATTTGCCAAGTTCACTTCAAAAGTTAGCACCCAATCCTTAGATCAATGAAAGGTCCAGTCTTCTCTCACAAAAGAATGTCACAAGTATGGCTTCAAGTACCATAGGCTTGCCCCCTCATGTAGATCACCACTAATCACTCGGTTAAAAATCAAGTAGGACTTCTTTCGGGTTGTAATGAAGGCTTTTGGACTGGGGTAGGATACCGTATGAGTAAATGGTTACACCTTTCCTTAAGAACTCCACATTTTCATTTATTGGCTCACATTTACCAACTCTCAGAGGCATTCTCTTTTTCTTGGGGGTTAGAGAGACTTGACATCACTCTTTCTTGTTCATTTCATTATTTTTCTCCCTTGATGCTCATGTTAGGGATAATTACCTCTTTTTGATTCCATCAACCCTTCCTTTTATTCTCTTTCTTGCATTTTCTTTTTGTTCTTTTTCTTTTCTTACCTTCTCTTTTCATAGAGATCATTTCTTTTATCTTTCTTGTACCTTGATATCTCTTTCATGTTTCTCAACTCTCCCCCAAACTTATGCCATAAGCCACTTAATTCACAAGTGTGTTACGGAAGGTACGGATGCCAAGGGTGGATCACGATAAAATGGGTAAAGGCTTATATCAAATGAGAAAGACTAAAGGCTCAAAGAGGGTTGACTAGGGATAACATTATTGTTTGGAAATAAAAAGCACAAACGGACCATGGAAAGCCTACAATCATTTCCTAAACCAAGCAAACTTAGGATTTAGAAGCGCATTCGGGGCAAGTTCTAGACCATTCGCACGGGTGCTTGGACTAGCAACGAAAGATCACCTCACCCCTCATGCGGCTAGATCGTAAAAGAGGATAGAGTCAAGAGCCTATAACAACCACAATCAAGTTAAACATCACTATGGTCCAATAAACCACTCAATGATTACCAAAGTCAACTCAAGAGTCTCAAAGTCACTAACTAGAGCTATTTTCTTTCAAAAACTTTGTTTTAAGCCATAAGCACGTAGTTAAGTGTGTTGGTATCAAATGAAGCATGAATAACTCTTTTTTGAGAATGACTTGATTAGGCCTTTTATTCATTACTATTACTATTATTATTACCTAAACACACAAAAAAGGGACTCATTCCCTTAAGAAGGTTGTCATGCCATCCATCCTCGGGACGAGTCACACGGTTCACACAAAACTATGTTTGGAAAGAATCGTGGCATTAAGAAAACCAAAAAATTATTATCCATACTACTACGAAAAACATAAAAATAAGCTACTAACATAAAAAGAAGCTACTAACAAAACAAAATCTAAGGTGGACAATTAAAGAAGCTAATAAACAATAACTACTAAAGATAGATAAACTAAAAATAAGAAGAGAAACAGAATCATCCAATTATTACAATCCAAGTGTATCCAAATATGTCAATCAAATAAACTCCACCCCTCCCCCACGAATAAAAGTAAGCATTGTCCCCAGTGCTTAACAAAATAAGAGTGAAAAGCGAGAGGGCAAAGAAAACTCCCCAAGCATCCTTGGACATCTCAGTGTCCCCAGCAGCAACATCTCCCGTTGGATCAACCAACTGTATCTCATCATCATCATCATATCTGGGACTGGCAGGAGTGGAAAACATCCCTCGCACTGATTCAACAGTGTCAACAGCAGGGCATGGCTGATCAGACTGACCAGTTGGTGCAATCGGTGCAGATGGATCTGGGGCAGACTGGTCTGGGTCAAGTAACATGTCAAATGGCAAATCCCCAGCTGTCGCAAGTCGGGTCACCTCCTTCCTTAACTTATCAACTAATATCTTGCTGGCCTGGGACTTCCTCATCTTCTTCACTTCCTTGGTCAACTCCTCAATAATCGACCCATGCTGTACTAGAGTGTCCATGATCAACTTCTGGTTGTCCAGAATCTTACGCATCTTCTTAACAAAATTAGTGGGGACCTATGGTGCCTCTATAGATGACTGCACTGCAACAGTACTAGATATCTCAGGCAACTTTGAAGTAGCTGTCTGCATCTAGTTTTTGAGACTCGCCAATGTATGGAAAACTCGCAAAGAAGATAATGGAGTTGTAGGCATGGGCATCAGCCTCGGAGCTGTAGCAAGGGCTGCCCTGGGTGCTATAGTAGGACCTAAACATGGTGGCGGAGTCATAGCAGCAGCACTAGAAAAGGCTCAGCAGAGGTAGATGGAATGTCCGTTGTGTCACTAACTACCACTGTCGGCTCATCCGACTGACCTGTGGTGGTAGAAGGCTGGGCTCTCTTCTTTGGGTTGGTCGAATCCATCAACGAGTACCAGTCAAATGGCTTCTTCGGCTTCACCTTTGTATCATACGCTCTTGGCTATAATGGTGGTGGCCCTGGTGGTGCTAAGATCTCAGCTAGTCATGGTCAAACTTTTTCTTTAGTAGCACACTTCTCTAGGTACTCTTTTGGCTCTAAGTCATCAAACCCCAAGTACGCATTTAGCATGTGCTGATCAAACCTCACCTTGAGGTTGCGTACTTTGGTCACCTTTGTCCCCTTTCAGATATGAGAAATGTTGGCATAGAAGTTGCGAACAAGGTGCTCATTGGCATGTACTACTCTCTCAGTGAACAACATCCAACCCTTCCTCGCTCTAAACTATCTTAGCACTACAAGGTTGTATGTCTCTAGATCTTTAATAGAAACTGCCTCTCAAGGGTCAAAGATCTCGTGGGCCACCATACTCAGAAGTCAGTGAAGGCAGCCAAGCTAAAAATCTGTCCTCCCATATCTCCTTCTTCTTT